ACCAAAGAAAACAATGTCTTGTGATTAGCTAAAATAAAAACACGTATACACAATGACAGTTTTTCTTCAGTATTTTTATTTGTAATGTAATAATTTATGTAAGCTTTTGTCTAACTACAAAATTATTAACTCATACCATTGCGATACTTTAGCGAGCTCAGTCTCAGTTCTTACATGATCTTTTTATTTTGAAATGTTCCACTCTCTGATTTGGGAAAAGAAAATCGCCTTTAATATATTAGCTCCTTGAAGATAGACTTTTAAGTTAGTTTGCAGAAACGTTCAAAGTTGATCCTAGCAACCCCTACCTGTATCATTGACTGAATATTATTTTATATCATGCATATCTAACATGGTCAATGCTGGGGGTGTCACTTTGTTTTGATTGATTCAGTATTTAACACTAACACAGTCTTATTATTTAGGTATATGTATACTCAGGGTATGTTGTGTATCAATATTTCTTCCTGATGTGATCTAGAATTGTCAAAGTCTGTCAGATAACTAAAAGATCACAGGTTTTTTAGACCAAAGCCAGATGTGGCTATCTGCTGTGTCCACCGCGGGGAATCGAGCCCCAGATGTTAACGTTGTAAGTCTGTAGAGGAACATAAAATCAGAGAGAGAGAAAGTTTGTTAGGTTTCTTCTTGACAATGGCAACCCTAATGGTGCCTGGTTAGTACATTTGTTGTCAAAGGTCTGATCTTGTAAATGTTTTGGGGAACACGTAATGGTTGAAGGACTTCGAGAAAGTTTGACATTTTAAAGGACACTTTTGGTCAGTGGAACCAATCAGCTGAAAACGAAAGTAAAAATGCTGAAAATTAATTTCAGAAAAACTATTATACGAATATAAGTTTGAATCGTTTACGAATATAAATACAATATGAAATTAGGCATTTCTTTTCTTATTTTTGATACCAGGATAAAGTGTTTCTACCTTCTTTATTGGTGAATGTCACGCGTACCAGCCTCCTCCCCTTCTTCATTATAAACAGCTTTCAACTGATATTTATATCTAGACAATAAACAAACTCAGAAAAGCCAGCTTCGCTTTATTTGATAGTTCTGAATCAAAAATAGTTCCATCAACGTACTCTTTAAGTAGTTGATTTATGTGTTTTGAATTATCATTAAAAAATAATATTTTTCCAGATATTTTGTTCGAATTTGTTAGCGTACTTTAGCATCCAGTCTGATTTATTTGTTATACTAGTCCTCCACGTGGCTTCACTTTTTGTATCTCCTTAGAACGAGAAATACACACCCCCTTTGTTTCATATGAACCATTCAATATACATTCTTTGTTCGAGAATAGTTGTGCTGTTCAAAACCAGTAGATTGTTTTGTTTTTGAATTTCGCGCAAAGCTACACGAGGGCTATCTGCGCTAGCCGTCCCTAATGTAGCAGTGTAAGACAAGAGGGAAGGCAACTAGTCATCACCACCCACCGCCAACTCTTGGGCTACTCTTTTACCAACGAATAGTGGGATTGACCATCACATTATAACGTCCCCACGGCTGAAAGTGCGAGCATGTTTGGTGGGACGGGGATTCGAACCCGCGACCTTCAGATTGCGAGTCGAGCGCCTTATCCACTTGGCCATGCCGAGCCAAACCAGTAGATTGGATCTAAAATGTAAAAGTCAGCTCCTGTGTGAAAGTTCACATACTTGTACATTTTAAAATCTTTATTCCGTAAACTTCTGCTATTCTTACAAAAAATAAATAAAATAAAAGTTTTGATACGATGTTCGTGTTCTGTTTTATAAATATTTAATCATATGACTAGTAGTGGTGTTAACTTAGCATACTCATTAAAAAATAGATCTAAACGAAGCTCGAGAAATTCACTCAAAAGCGTATTCTTAATTATTTGTCCAAACTGACAAGAAAACACCTGTTTTTCATCTCCTTAGCAAGAAATATTATTAGAAGTAAAATTTGGATCACGCAACTTATGTTGGTCGTAATAGCTTTAATATGAATGCACTCTGTATACCGCGGTGAATCGAACCCTGGATTTTAGCATGTATAATAGTAAACTTACCGGGGTACGGTAGGTCTTGTTCATCTTAGAAAGGTAATATAAACTGTTATGATGAGAATCTGGAAGTGTAGTTCCCAATATATTTCATTGTGTGTGATGGTTTGTTTCTTCCTTTGTTCATTGTGATCCTTGTCTAACAATGAAAATTTGGTTTCACTTTATCAGAGTTATTTCAAACAATTGTAAGCTCTTTCATTAACTTGCTAGTTATGTAATCTTTGAACTCATATCAGCTCGATAGATTCTTAATAATTCGCTTAAACTTTGTCGAATTACAGTCTGTCTTTATACCTTTAGCATGTTGATATTCCAACGCTTTGACTTATAAATGTGCAGCATTACCTTAAAATTTCCATCAAAAAATAACTTTCGATATGCATAAAACTTTTCCACGATGTCTACCAATTAATATAACAACGTCTTAGAATCACAATGTCTTGCAGTGAAAAACGAAAGAAAGTTTGTTTGGTTATAGTTAAGCACAAAGGTAAACAATGGGCTATCTGTCCTGTGCCCACCACGAGTATCGAAACCCAGTTTTTAACGTTGTAAGTCCGCAGGTATTCCGCTGATCCATTGGGGGACACGAAAAAAAGAAAGATGTGTTAAAAATAAATATCAAACCAAATTTATCTTTCGATTTGCTATCGAACTGTACAGGACTAGGAGAATATCACCCCTCACCAGCAACCTTGGACAAGGGCACATCGAAAGACTAGATGGCCAGGTGGTTAGGGCGCTCGACTCGCAGTCTGCGGGTCGCGGGTTCGGATCCCCGTCACACCAAACATGCTCGCCCTTTCAGCCGTGAGGGTGTTATAATGTGAC